ACATGCCAGTTTCTTCTTGCACACTCAAGGGAACCAGCAAATGAGGGATTTGCTCCTTTACTCATTTAGCAATTCCTCCTCCTCCTCTTCCTCCTCCTCCTCCTCCTCCTCCTCCTCCTCCTTCTCCTCTTCCTTCTCCTCCAGTATTTCAGGGAAGGGTCTACAGGGTGTCCAGGAACCCACTACTAGATCAGAATCGTAGTGATCTGCCTGTTTACAGCCTCCCAAGGGCTGGGATTACAGGCACACACCACCATGTCGTCTCTTAGTAATTTATTCTTAATTTATATATTTACTTATTTATTTTGTACATTCTGAAACAAGGTCTTGCTAAGTACTCTAGGCTACCCTTCAACTCACAATGAAGACCAGGCTGGCCTGGAACTCATGGCAACCCACCTGCCGCAGTCTCCTTAGTGTGGGGATTATAGGCTGCGCCACTTTGTCTGGCTCATTTAGTAATTTATTGATCCACTGGTAGATGCTCTTTGGGCTCAAGCACCTGCTGGATTCCCACTGTGTGTCTGGCCCCATCTGACCCCTGACCTAACCCGAACTCACTTCCCAGCAGCCTCCAGAGCTTCACTCAAAGCCCTTTCTAACTCAAGACCCATTTTCCCAGCTGATCCAATTGCCACACCTTCCAGCCACCTTTTTATTCTACCAACTGAGCGTTCCTAACTCCTATGCATCCATCAAAGCCCCATCCCCATCCTGCCTTTTCCACTGTGGTGCCTACCCGTGCCTTGCCCATCCCTCAGCTGTGAGAGTACCTGGGAGGGAAGAAACTGGGAGTTGCCTCTGAGTGACAAAAAAGGACTCTCATCCACATCCCTAAGGATTCCACACAACAAATACCTCTAAGGTGCAAAAAGATAAACTGAGACCCAGAAAAGGTGAGAGGGAGATTTTGGAGTTCAGAGGAAAAACAGGGCTGGCTATCTTTCTGGCCCGCCCAGAGCCGCTCCCCTGCCTGCCTCAGTTTCCCGCGGTGGTGGGGTGGCCTTGCCGGCGGGCGGGGGTCTGCGGTCGCCCGAGACTCAGGAAGTCTTCGGCCGCAGGAATTCGGCCCTTCCTGGCCTTATAAGGGCATTTGCGCTCCGAGCC